AGCCTTCATACCCGAGCTGGATCGCATTTTTAACTTGCCTCTGTTTCATCCAAAATACGGCAAGACTCGATGATGCTGTCTACTTTCGCGGTGAATAATTTTTAAATCATAACCACGTGATAATCTTGAGGACTCTGATGACAAATATAAGTCATGAATTGCAATGTACGATACTTAGCCGAGTATGTACAGAGCCTCAACGATTTTTAATTTTATTTAAAATTAGGCAAATGCGGAAACATATGAATGCATATACCTCACTTATTTTGTCTTTGCTGTTAACTAGAAAAGCAAAAAGTCAAGCCGTATAAGTCCATATAAGTTAGGGAGCAAATATGCCTTTCTCACAGAAGATGAACAGGCCATGGAAAGGATAAGAGCTAATTTTAAAGGTAAAAGAAACTGAACCTTGATTGACTTTAACTCCGAATATCTTTTCATCAGTTTGTAATACTGCCCAATAAATAATAGAAGGATTACCCGTGTTTTTGTCCATGCGAAGGATATTCAGATCATCCTGGCCTTCATAATGAACAGTCAGATTTTGTGATCGACCTCTCAAGACAGCGCCACTCCAAAACATCGGTTCCAGCCCCTCGGTCAACAGACGTGCTACTGGCGCCTCCAAATCTGACAGATGTCGGGCATCGGGTGAGCCAGTACCGGCCGAGGTGTTGATGCCCGGTGGTACCGGTTCTGGCTCCGTCTCCGGCTCTGCTGCTGGCCCCCGGTGCCCTTGCCGTGTCGACAAGGTTGGCAACAACAGACTGATTGGCAGACTAACTCGAAGATCACTCGTCAAAGCCGAAGTCAGTTGGACGAAGAGTGCAAGTCGATCTGCTTCTATTCGCTTGACGCCAGTCGCCGAGGCAAAGTGGGCTGCAAGTTCAACAGCTGAGGCCTCGAGGTCGGCGACCAGGCGAGGTTTGGCTGCATCAGCACCGGCCCCGATGAGAAAGCGAGGAGCGATATAGGCCATATGGAGTACGTTTATTTGGAGGTAGGTACATGAAGCTAGGCCAACTAAAGAGTAGCATAAAATGGAGTAAAATGATGGGTCAATTCAAGTAAAAAATTATATCAAAACTAACTGCTCTTAGGTGAATGTTATGAGATAGCATTGTTGCGGAAGCTTTTACTCTGTATGAAATGGCATTATGAAGAGATTCGTTGTTTGCTCTTATCAGGAAAAGACGGCTGGTTCCCGTTTCTCTG